GCTGCTGATGGGGGGCACTGGGGCTGCCTCCGCTGTGGGGCAGAGGGGCAGGTGTTAGGGGCAGGGGTGCCCGGCACCGCCCCGGTGCTGCCTCCCACCCCAGCACTCACGGGTAGTGACGATGATGGAAACGGGGTTGCCCTCCCGGTTGCCAATGAGTGCCGTCACCTTCACCGTGTAGGAAACGCCACCCTCCAGGTCGGGGATGTCGAAGGAGCTGATGTGGCCGGGAACCCTCCGGCTGTTCTCCGAGCCCCCTGCCAAGGACCACGGCATCAGCCCCACACCCCGCCACCCTCACAGCCCGTCCCCATCCCTGTCCCACGGTACCGTCCCTGCGGCTCCACACCACGTGGTAGGCAGTGGCTCCTGGCACGCCGACCCAGGTGACGCGGACGACATTGCTCCTGGACGCCTGCACCTCTAGCTGGGACACGGTCCCCACCTGCTCGGGTGCTGTGACACCAAGAGGCCACTGTCACCCATGCCCGGCACAAGCGGCACCAGCTGACACCAACGGGTAGGGGGACACCTCACCTATCCGCCCCGTGGCGGTGACAGGGCTGCCCTCACGGCCATCAACGATGGCTGAGACACCAACGGTGTAGACGATGCCGGCACGCAGCCCCTCGATGGTGAAGGTGGTGGGGTCAGCAGGGAGGATCCGAGATTGCTCCAGACCTAGGAGAGATGGTTGGGCTGGCAAGGGCTCCGGCACCACTGCCGCGGCACCCTGCAGTCCCCACACTCACCGTCGCTGCCTCGCCAGGTCAGCAGGTAGCCCCCGGCGCCTGGCAGCCCTCGCCAGGTGACCCGCAGCTGGCTGGGACCGGCCTCTGTCACCCGCAGCTCCGAGATGCTGCCCACTGCCGGGTACTCTGCACCGCCCCATGGCACCACAGCGTCACCTCGGGTTGCCCAGAGGGGCCCCACGGCCGCCCCGGTGCCCCGAAGCCTTGCAGAGGGATAGAGGACCAACACATGCCCGGGTGGGGGGAAACACAGCACCGGGACTCCTGATGCCAAACCCCGGCGTGGACTTACTGAGGCGGAAGGTGAGCGTGGCGGCGCTGCCCTCCCGGCTGCCCACCAGCGCTGAGACACGCACCAGGTAGGCGATGCCCTCCCGGAGGTCACCCAGCTCCAGCCCCGTCTGGCTGCCCGGGACACGCCTCGTCCTCTCCGTGCCGTCTGCCGGGAGCGAGGTGGCCATGGAACCTCAGTGCCGGCCGGCCGGGGTCCCCCGGGTGCCGCCCGCGCCCCTGCCCGCAGACTCACCCTGGTTGTTGCGCACTACCACTTTGTACTCGGTGGCGCTGGGGACGCCAGTCCAGCCCAGCCGCACCTGCCTGCCCACCTCTTCGACGAGCCGCAGATCCGACACGGCACCCACGGGCGCCTCCACGCCTGTGAGGGGATGCAGTGAGGCACGGCCAGAGCCATGCAGCCTGGACCGCATGGCCCCATCCACGCCCCGGGCTGTGACCGGAGAGCTGGGGCTCTCATGGCCAAGGGGGTCCCTGGGCTGAGCAATACCATGCGGGATGTCCCTCCATCCCAATGGCTTGGGAGGGTGGGGACAACCTAGGGGACCTGTGGCGGTCGCTTACCTGTCTGGAAGGTGGTGACAGGGGTGGCCACCTCCCCGCCGTCGTAGAGCGTGTACAGGGTGATGCGGTACACGGTGCCTGGCTGCAGCCCCGTCAGCTGGTAGGTGTTGGTGCTGCTGGGGAGCGACACTGTCCTGGGGGGCTCTGGTCCTGTGGGGAGGGGAGGATCACTGCTGGCTGCCGGCGTGGGGGGTCTGTGGGGGGGACCAGGTGCCCCAAGCCCACCTGTGGCTCTCTTCCACTCCAGACGGTAGCCACGGGCATCGCGGGTGCCAGTCCAGAGCACCTGGATGGATGTGGGGCCCAGGATGTTGGTCCGCAGCGTCTGCTCCGCACCCGCCTCTGCAAGACGGACCCCGTGGGCCAGGCTGCCCCGTGCCACTCTGCCGCCGGCCACCCACCCCGGCGTGTCCCCAGCCCCCGCACACGGCAGGGTAGGGAGCATCACCATGGTGTGGGGCCATGGGGGATGGTCCCCATCCCGTGGCAATGGCACCAGGGGTAGAGCCAGAGGCCAGCAGCAGGATAGCATCACCCGTACCCACCACCTACCCGTCCTCTGCCGCACGGTGGCCGTGGGCCCCTCCAGCTGCCCGAAGAGTGGGGCCACCGTCACCACGTAGTCAGTGTTGGGCTGCAGCCCCCCCAGTGCATGCGACGTCCGCCCAGCATCCAGGTCCACCCTGTGCCTGTCCTGCCCTGCGAGAGCCAGCGCAGCAGTCCCCTGGGGGTCTGGGCAGCGGGTGCCACCGCGCCCCTCCTGTCCCTCCTCCCTGCGGTCACCAGCAGAAGGGAAGCAAGCTCTGGGACAGGCACCTACCTGTGAGGGTCGCCCAGGAGATGCGGTAGCCGGTGGCACCACCGACGGGCTGCCAGGCCAGCAGCATGCTCTGTGCCGAGACGTTGTGGACGGCCAAGTGCTGCACACCCACTGGGCGCCCTGCAGGCGAGAGGTGCCCGTCGCATCCCCCATGCTGGAGCACGGCAGGGGGAAGCCGCTTCGCCTGCAAACCCGCCTGCTCTGCCGGGCGAAAACCCCTCTCTCCTCCA